ATCATATGGAAAACATTCAAAACTTTCTCTGCATTGCAACTTTTGACATGGGCTGCCTTCACAACTAATATATGCATCTTGCCCTCTAGCACAGGGACAGGCAAAATCCAGCTCACAGGCTGGATCCAGTCAGGAGTAAAGGCCATTTCCCAGCCTTGCTGCACATGGTTGGGGCTAGTCTCCATGGAGACCCCAGCTGCAGTTGTGCAGGAAAGCTCAAGGCTGGGGTTGCCATGGAGACCAGCCTCAGCCACACTGGCAGCACCTGTGTCAGAGCTGGGTAGGGGGCTGCTCCGTAGCTGCTGGGAACTTGCAATGGGGGCAGCTTGCTCCAGAGCCAGGGTAGAGCTGTGATCTGTAGCCTGCATGCTCCAGGCAGGAGGGCAGAAGCAGGGGATTGCAGCTCTGCCCCTGCTCAAGACCAGGCTGTCACTGCTGCAAGGAGCTTGAGTAGAGCCGCAGTCCCCTGTTTGCACGCCCCTGCCCAGAGTGTGCAGGTTACAGATGGCGGCTCTGCCTTGGCTCCGGAACAAGCTGACCCCATTGCAAGATCTCAGCGGCTCCAGAGCAGCTCTCTGCCATGCGCTGTAGCTGCATCTGTGACTGTGGCTGGTCTCCATGGCAACCCCAGCCTTGAGCTTTCCTGCGCAGCTGTGGTGGGGATCTCCATGGAGACCAGCCTCAGCCATGAGAGTGAGGGCTGCTGCTGGGAAATGGAGTCCGGCTGCTGGCCAGATCGGCCATTTTACCCATCCCTGCTCTAGCAGAATCCACAGGGTTAGGTTCCCATTCCCTATGAATAGAATCCAAAAAAGCCAGCATACTGATCATTTAAAGATTTGCCTAAGTCTAATGACAATTGGGCAAATAAAATTAAAGTTCACCAGTTTCTGTGGCCAGTGGAGGTGATGTGGTTAGTATCATGTCTGGCTGCCTTTAACTCCTTATCCTGAATGACAAAGTACCCAACTGCAGCTGGATCAGGTAGAAATGGTCTTTGGTATGAGTCCAGAGCAGAACTTGGACTCACACCTGTGGACCCATAACAAGAGTGGACCCTTAACCACTCTGCCATCCACTCCTGAGCATCTAATTAACCAATAAAAAATGTTAAGGAAATTATGTGTGTCAAGAAGAGTTAGGGACTAATTCTCTGGCTCTGATTCACAGCCGTGAAGTCTCCCTTGGAGTTAGGCAACTAAGATTACCCTTCCTTACAAAACAGTGTGGGTACAACTGCCATCTGTCCCTTATTCACTAGCTTTATGGTCATTGCACTCACCCAGTATGTGGGAGACCCAGCTTCAGCTCCCTGCTCTGCCTGTGGGAATCTGAATACACATGACTGCTTCCCAGGAAAATGACCTAATTACTAGGCTACGAGATGCTTCAGGGTGGCTCTTGATTTTTCCTGTTGAAACTATTCCACTTTACATACCAACTAAAAGTTCATTAGGTCAGGTGATAGTGGGAGCATCTACATATGTGCTTGGACTGTACAGTTGTTACTGTGCAGTCATTTAGTTACTGCACAGTCCTGGTGCCTCACTGGTTGTTTCTGGCACTACTGCACAGTAGCATCGGCATCATTGCTTGTTGCTACAGCAATGTAGCATCTTGTGTAAGCACACTGTATGTGTATTTCATAGATTTCATAGACATTAGGGCTGGAAGGGGCCTCGGAAGATCATCGAGTCCAGCCCCCTGCCCAAAGGGCAGGAAGTCAGCTGAATTCATAGGATCCCAGCAAGATGAGCATCCAGTTTGCTCTTGAAGGTGTTCAATGTAGGCACTTGAACCACCTCCGGTGGCAGGCTGTTCCAGACCTTGGGGGCTCGGACAGTAAAGAAATTCTTCCTTATGTCCAGCCTGAAACGGTCTTGTAGTAGTTTATGACCATTCGACCTAGTCGTCATCCCTTGGGGCGCTCTGGTGAACAAACGTTCCCCCAGATGCTGGTGGTCACCCCTGATAAACTTATAGGTGGCCATCAGATCACCCCTGAGCCTGCGCTTTTCCAGGCTAAAGAGCCCCAGGGCTCTCAGCCTGTCATCGTAGGGTCTGCTTCCCTGACCTCTGATCATGCGCGTGGCTCTTCTCTGGACTCTCTCAAGCTTCTCCACATCCTTTTTGAATTGTGGAGCCCAAAACTGGAAGCA